TTCAATCTTACCAACCTACATCATAACATCAAAACACACATAAAAACACTCTAAAACTTTTTCAATGGTGACAAAATAATGAATTAAGTGGTGTAAATATCATGAGTGTGGAGCACTCATCAGTTTTCTTACCCAATAAATCACAGCAAATGCTCTTAAATGTTTTTGATTAATTTTAGTAGACTTCGGCCGAAGACTGAAATGTATATCAACACCACAATTGATTGACTCAGTCCGAAAACAAATTGGATCATTGGAAGCAACTATCAATTTATTGGGAAAATTTTCATATCTAAGATATTAGAGCGTGTTTGAGACACATTCTTTTGAAAGAATGTATTATTGAATAGTAGATTGATGGAGAATCTGTGATTNAGAATCTGTGATTAAAAATGAAGGAAAAGTTATTGATGTGATAAAAATATTATTTTATTGAAAAATATGTGGTTGAAAATGAGTAGAAGAATGAGAATGAAAAAAATAATGTGTACCAAATAAGGCCTAAGTATAACATATTTCAAAATTAAGAAATGAAGTTTAAAATTTCAAAAATCAAATATTAATTAAGTTTATTTATGAAATAATTAATTAAATATATATTTTATTTATTAAATATATTAATGTCACAATTCTATACCATTTGGTCACAAATTATCACAAATCAATAATTTTATATGTCACAAATTATTTCACGATCACAATTAAAAAATCTTATAAGTCATAATTTATTCATTGGTTACAAATAAAAAAAAAAATTTTAGGTCACAATTTATTTATTGGTCATAAATTTCAAATTTTATAAGTCACAGCTCAAATTTTTAGGTCACATATTATTTATTGATCACATATTGTCGGATTAGTTGGTCACAGATTACCAAATTATGAGTTACGATTCCAAATTTAGTCACAATCACAAGTTTTTTAGGTTACAAGTTAATTATTGGTCCCAATTAATTAATTTATTGGTCACAACACCCAAAGAATTGATTACAAATACTTTTCGTCCAAACCAACCATCACCATCTTCCCCGATACCGCTATGCCACAACAACCACAATACCAATGACACCAACACCATCACCTGGCACCAATTTAATACCAACAACACCAACACTACCCTTACCGTCGCTACTTCGCCGCCGACACCACCACCACCACAACAATACCAACAACACCATCGTGGCACCACAACAACCACAACCACTACCACCACAATACCAACACCACTACAACGGCATCCCCACAACCACCACTACGGCCTGCACCACACTGCCACACCACCACAACTACCATCAATACATCTACCAATCTCAGTCATCATCACTGTCACCACCGTCACAACCAACCAACAATTACAAAAATCACCTCAAAACCATCGCCACAACAGCGCAGCAATCATCGGAAACCACAAAAAAATCTGACCATGTTAAAAGAACCCACCTTTCTGCAAACGACGATGTCAGATTGCCATCTATCCTCCTAGGCAGAGGTCACGACGACGCTCATCTTTTTGACAACATTGGTCTCTTGCAGCGACATGACTCCTCTTTTAGAGGCATGACAGAGCTCACAGTCGGTAGCGACGCCGATCCTCTCCTTACAGCGTCAACATTGATCTCTTGTAGCTGCGTCGATCTTGCAGTCGGTGTGGCTCTCTTGTAGCTGCGCCGTTCCTCTCCCCACAGCATCCAACATCACCAGTGGAGGGACAGAGAAAAGATGGAATAGGTGGAGATAGGAGAGTGTATGTTGGATGTAATTAGAGTTTACGATGAATTTTGGTTGTATTAATAATATTAAATATTTGAATTAAAATCTGATTTTTTTATAAACAAATTTTATATCTGATTTTTGAAATTGAATCTTGAAAATTCTGATTTGATGTCATTACCACATTATATTGTGCATGGTCCATTCATTAATTGGACGACTCTTTTAGGCGTTAGCCTACTTTGCCTTTCTTGTTGGCTGACCTTATGTTAGCCTAATTTGTTTGGTTTTTAGCCAATCTCATGTATTACCTCTTGACCCATATAACCTAGCCCTAAAACTATATATTAGCCCCTGCTTGTCCAGAATGTAATGGCAATCCTTTACGGGTTAGAAAAACTAGGCAAACATAGTGAAAGTTTGTCGTGGGTTGAGCCGATTCTGTTTGTTGGTATTTAATTCGGTTATTGTTAAACTAAGCTCGATTGCATATATTCAAAGTTCTTGGTTTATAATTTCAGCGACATTTAGTATGTTCAAGAAAATCCTAATTTTTTAACTATAAAAAAAATTAATATATAATTATGTACCTCAACTTTTCCCCTTTCTCTTGGTTTGTCTTCACATTTTTTTCAAAGAAACAAACTTCTCTACAGAAGGATCTTGGAGATCCTTCTGTCTTTGGTGGACTTCCATGTTTAGGAATAGCTAGAGGATTACGAAGTCCATTGCTTCCATTTTTTATTTTTTTTATTAGACTAAAATTCATTCATCTTCTTCCAAAATATGGCATAAATCTTGTAATATATAATAGCCAAGTAAACATCATTAAATTTCTTTTTCAACTGTGATAACGATGAGCCTAGTGATTGCCTTCTCAGTCATCATAAATAACTTTTACCCTTGTGTCTCTGGAAAAATTGAGGAAGTAGATCATGTAAAAATGTAGTTTTCCGACACTTCTTGAATATTTATTATCGATAGAACTGATAAGGTATGCTTGCATAAAATCCCTCTAAATTAATCAAACAATTGACAAGCGCATTTAACCTCATTTTCAGTTCATTGAAATAAACATTGAAATGAGACTTTTCATGTCTATCCCCAACTAATATATCCTCGACAACATTATCATACTTCTCAACAAAGAGCTTCAATATTGTCTTCGAATTTAAATAGTCATCAAATAATGCATTCATACTCTTACTATGTTGTGTAGTTTGTTAAGGGATAAAATCATATATCGAAAAGTTGACCTTTGAAAATAGAACCTCAAACCTTAATATTGTATCAGAGCTCATTAAGTTCAAACAAGCTATTTGATCCGAATATAACTAAAAAAATTAGCCCTCGAATTTTAAGATTGGTTTGTTCAAATGAATTAACATCTTGGAAAGCTATGTTAAGAGATAAAATCACACATCGAATAAAGATAAAAACATAGACCAACTTATAAGAGCTTATCGAGTTGGATTATTACTCTTAATAAAATTGACATTTAAGATATTAAGGAATAATATCTCACATTGAATAAAGATGAAAATATAGACCAACTTTTAAGGGTTTGAGCTAGTCCTTTTAATAAGGTTGACATTTTAAGATAGAACTCCAAATCTTAATATGGTATCAAGCCCATTAAATTTCAGCAAGTAATTCGATGTGAATAAAACTAAAAAATGCGTACACGAATTTCAAGATTGGTCTACTCAAACTAGCCACCACCATTTGTAGGACATGTTAAGGGATAAATCCAATATCAAATAAAGATGAAAAAATAGACCAACTTATAAAGGATTTAATTACTACTCTTAACCTTAACATGCCTCTGAATGGTGGCTCGTTCAAAATCTGTGTGCTCATTCGCTGGAACTCAATGTACTCTAATACCATATTAAGAATTGATGTTCTATCTTTAAAGATCAACTTTATTGAGAAGAGTAGCTCAAGTCTTTATAAGCATTTGACCAATTCAACGTAAATCTTATCTGGTATGAGAGTACATTAAAATTCAATGAGTATGCGAATTTCAAGATTAATTTGCTTAAACAAGTCACCATCTCGCGAGGGCATGTTAAGGAATAAAATTTCACATTGAAGATTGACCTTTTAAGATAGAATATCAGGTCTTAATAAAGTTATCATATCAACCCAAAATGTGTCCTTAAAAAAATGTAGGAACCCAACGATGTCTCTCTTTAGACAAATTACTTTACCACTGTTTTTACGAATATTGAACTCATTAATGAATTGATCCCAATTTTCTTCAATTCTTCTTTCTAGGAAGATTCATAAATAATATTATGCAAGACAACTTCTATTTTTCCATACAACCTAAAGCCCCTTAGCTTCTTTGGTATCTTTTTCATTAAATGCTATACACGCCAACAATGTTAAGAATTAGGGAACACAATCTCAACTGCTTTATCTTGATACGTAGTTCTGTGCACATCTAGATATACATGCTTGTCAAGTTCAAAACAATCAAATAAATGTAGTAGTGTCCTCATTTGATAGTAATCCACATCCAATAAATTCAAGTGTCCATGATAGTTTACACACACAAAAGTTTGAAAAATCAAAGGAGATTTTGAGATCCAAAAGTAGCTACTTTTGAATCTATTTGGCGAATTGTATGATACTATTTTTTCTATTTAGAAGAATTTTTAGAGAAAAGTAATTCAATGTGAGTTCCTCTAAAAGTACTTTTGGAATAAAAAGCTCTTTTATAAATTAATTTCAAACAAAAATAAAGATAATTTTTTCTAAAAGTCCTTCTATAGAAAGCAAAAACAAAAGACATGCAAAACGACCCTACATCTCCATTTGTAATAGAAGCTTGGATTTTTTTGATTGCATTCTAACAAAATAATTATGGATTGCTTTAGCATCTCCAATATCAAGGTGTAATCTAAGGGTGTGTTTGATAGATATTATTGAGAAAAGATTAAAAAAAATGTATTTTAAATAGTGATATGATGAGAAAATGTGATTAAAAAGTAAAGAAAAATTATTGATGTAATGGAAAATATTATTTTATTGAAAAATGTGTGGTTAAAAATGAATTTTGAAAGAATGTGTACCAAATAGATGCTTATTTTCTTATCAACTTAATTTTTTACAATCCATTTTTTAAAAAATGGGACATTATCATGACTCCAACTTCCGCTACGAAAGATTGATAATTCTTTGCCGGGCCAACTCTTGCTCAATCATTTAACCAAGTTTTATTTGAGCATTATATTTATTTCCCTATATTTTGAGTAAAATTGTGAATTTTGTGGACTCAACCCATCTTTGTGCTCAGGTGCAATAGAATTAATCTTGCAGTTCCTACTTGTAAAGAAAATGATGGTTGTACACGATGCTATACAACATGGTATACAGCCCCCTCACATGTGAGGGGGCCCCACCATGAATACAAAATTTGTGGGTCCCCTCTATGTGAGGGGAGTGTACACCCTGCTGTACATGTAGTAGAGTTGTATTTGTAAATACCTAACATTAACCTCGTTTTGTACCCTATTTTCCTCAGTGGATCATGATTAAGATAATTTTGTTTTTGAGACCTTGAATTTCTTGCTCTAGAACATAATGAGCAAACAAATCTTAAATTCCCATCTCATTGTGATGTTGCTTTATAATTTCAAAATCTTCTTGTTTCCTATATCCTTTTAGTACTAAAAAATATTGTTTAAGGAATCAAAATACATTCCAATTCCAAATGCTTGCATCTCGATCACTTTATAATCTATTAAAATGCAGGCATTAATTACTTTAAATACCACGTAAAGCAAAAAAAATTGTATGTGCACAAAAACTCTAAAATCAAAACGCCGTTGTCTGCAAAATTGTATGAATATGCAGAAGATGTTTTTCTAATTTATACCAACATATTCAACAATAACCTTCTGTTGAATCAAATGTTGTAATTGCTATCTCACTAGGCTTAACTACTATAGCTATTCGAAATCCACAAACCATTTTAACAAATGGTCAAAATTTCTTTGAATATTCTCAAATTCATTCGAGATGTGAGTTAAACTCAAATTAGAAAAGAATATGGCATTTGGGTTCCTTTTATTGGAACCCGTGAATGATATAAATACTACCGTTACTCTATGTACTTTTACTTAAATACCCATGTTCAATAAAAAAACTAGTGATGCAATTGTAGATTCCATTTACTTACTTAGTTCTTCTAAAAAGGCTCGCTAAAAATATATGTTCAAAATCTCATGAATTCCAAAGCAACGTAATCAAGACAAAAAGCTAAAGTTACAGGAGAGTTCGTATAACCATTTTGTCTATAAATTACAAAGGGAGTGAAAATAATAATTTAAACGTACAAAGTTCCAGCTCTAACCATATGAAGAAGAATTAAGAAAAGAATGGATGATGCCCCTGGAGCATAGCTCAGTGATGCAAAGGACATGAGTGAGGTAGTCTCGACTGAACAGGCAGCCGCAGTGTGAGGATTCGATTCCTACCTTTTACAAGGTATGTAATTGGACTCTTTGTGGATGGGTGTTTGACAGCTCTATTGAGACATATCCCTCGATTTACTTCCTTCACAATACTCTAGGGGGCATGATGGTGGGGAACCCTCAATGTTGGGGTTCAACTTTTTTTTTAAGAAAAGAATGGATGAGACTGTACTAACAAAAGAGAACATAACGGAAGTGTGGCGGTGATTTTGAAGACTTTTGTTTACGTACTATCAAATGAAAACCCTTTTCAACGACGTGAACAAACAATGATTGAGGAGGAAATTGAGAATCGAAGAAGATACATTCGATGAATATGGGTTTATTAAGCATGTACGGTGTATAAAACATTAACGTAACTTTTTATTCATACATTTTGAGATATTCACAAGTACATATCAATTTATTCACTACTTATTTCGATTTATTTATATTTTAAACAATTTATAAGCACTCTTAAACGTTCTC